TTTTTAAAACTATTTTTATACCAACAATAGGATTATTTACATACCATGCTTGCAATGTTAGACCATTCTGATTTCATTTGGATAATTACTCTTACTAGTGAGTTTTATACCTTCTTATATTTTCTTCTTACTTGTTTATGTCTCTTTCTTTCAGCTTGAAAAACTTTCTTTAGCATTTTACATATATATCCTCTAAGCTTTAATTTGTCTTGAATGTCTTTACCCTTTCATTTCTGAAGGATGGCTTTGCTGGGTATAGTATTCTTGGTTGACAGTTTTATTTTTTTCCTTCAGGGAAAAATTCAGGGCTGGGGATATAGCTCAGTAGCATAGCAGCTGCCTGGCAAACGCAAAGTCCTGAGTTCAACTCCTAGTACCCCCCCCCAAAAAAGAAAAATTCACTGAAAATTTCACACCACTTTTTCTTGGCCTACAAGGTTTCTGCTGAGAAGACTGCTGCCTAGCAAGTTGTATACCCTTGTGCGTTTCTCAGCTCCTTCCTCTTGTAGCCCTTGGAATCTTCTCTTTATCTTTCACCTTTTGGAGCTCAGTTATAAGATGCATTGGGGTTGGTTGAGTTAAATTTGGTTTTATTTTAATTTTATTTTGATCAGTATGTGTTTGCAGTATGTAACGATTATGTCCATTGTGGGGAGTTGGTGCATGTATATAGCACACCTTACTTCTTTTTACTTCCTTTCTCCTTTCCTCTCTCCCCCTTTGGCTGAGTTAAATTTGACTGGTGACTTTGGCTTTCTTGAACCATAAAATTGTCACATCAAATTTTCTTAATTATGATTATTAATTTTGTAGTAAGCAATCAAAGTAATTCTTTTCTAGAACGTGATTTTATTTCTGCAGTAAAGATAAATATATTTTGTAGCTCCCACTCAATTACTCAAATTTTCACTGAAAAATAAAATAATAAAAATAATAACATGTTTGGGGTACACAGTTAAGATTTAGTGCAGGATTCATTCCATCTTAATATTAAAAACTTTCATATTTGCCAAGTATTGTATTCAGCAGGTCTTGGTAAACTTTTCCAAAGAGCTCACAATTTAGCCAAGGAGCTGAATGTGCTAATAGCTATTATTAGTCAGGATATAAAGAGGTAGACATAGGAACAAAAGGCATGGGACCAATTCTTCTACCCAAGTAATTACTGAAGTCTTCACAGAGGTCATGTATGGACTGACTTTTGAAAGGTAAATAGGTTTTCCCTGGGGAAACAAGAGTCAAGAATTCCATATTAAGGAATGAGTCCCATGAGTGCAAACTACACACACATCTGTCTAATATAGTACCAAATGGTTATAGTATAGCGAAATGGCCAAAGCTGATCAAAATTCCTGGATTTTTGGAAACCTCAGTACTCTTAACTTCAGTGAAATCAGTTCTATATCTCAGGGTGGGGCGTCCCTAAAACAGCTTAAGGATATTTCAGTGTCATTGCTAAACTAGCTTTCTTCACATTTCCTGTAGTGCTTGTGAACTTGGGACACACCAGGCAGTGATTTTTTTACTTCTTGCATAAAAGATTCATGAATATATTTAGGTACAATATTCTCATTGTCTTGAAAGATTAGGATACTGTAAAAATTTACAATAAATTCTGAGAACTATTATGATGTAGATCTTCAAATGCCAACAGAATAGTTGGGTATAATGTTCTTCCTGTAGTTTCTTCAAACAAATAAAAATATTTTGGCAATGACTTCTAACTTTCACTCACCTCACTTGCACGCTTTTTCCATTTTTTTCTTTCCCCTTTCACACTTCTCTCCTTATGCTTTCTCCTTCCTTACTCTCACTAGAATTTCAACATTCTACAGCACGTGTTGTAGAATCAGAAGAAAAATGTGTTGTGTTGAGAATCAGAAGAAAAATTCGTGCACTTGTAAAATAATAATAACACATTGCCTGTTTTAAATCAAAGGAACTTTAATTTGGGGAATAAGGAGGTAATATTTATTGGAAGGCCTTCAAAGTGGCTCTCAAACTGAACCCTAGAATAGCATTTCAGAACTGGCCTGCAGGAGATTTTCTTTCCATTTTCTGCAAAGTGGGCAGCAAGGAAGCTCGCTGGAACAATTTATTCAAGATTACATAACCTTAGCTGCGAACCAGGAATTGGGAAGCCACTTCTACTGTAACTGGACTCAAGACCCAATCTAATCCTGCTAGGTCCATTTCAGTAAAAACTGGATGCCTTGCCTGCAGCACTCAGAATGCTTGTGACGAGAGTTTCCTTTCAAAGAAAGCCCAATGACCCCCGCCTGTTCATGCTGGAGTCATAGCGGGGTTGGAGGAATCATTGTCTTCACCTCACTTCTGCCTTCCAAACCTCATACAAGTGCACTTGATTGGCTAAAGTGGCACCCGGAAGTGGAACTGCAAAGTAATCTGAAGGATGCAGATTATTAGCTCCTCCCATCTTTGCAGAATGTGAAAATGTACTAGAAGGAGAGAAGAATGGATGCTGTGGGCCAGTCCACCATGTCTACCATCCTAAGAATCATTCCAAATTTACTGTGAATTCAGTGAGTTTTCATAACTCCTAATGAACAGTCACATAAACATAGATTTTTAAAATTCAAAGACAAGATTTGTTCACTCAAAAAGTATTTCTTGAGTGCCTATTATATGCAAATACTCTGCTATAAGGGCACATTCAAAGAGTAGCAGACTTGGAGGCATATGATAGCAAAAGTTAGAAATCAATTAGAGGCCTGTGACCACAGGCTTCTGCAGCTTGTCACGTAGCTAGCTTACTAAATTCAGTCAGCCTTGACTATCTGCTTCTCTTTGATAATGCTCTGGGCCAACTTGACTGTGTCCAGCTTGTTTTCCTTAGTTAGAAAAATATATGTTGTTTCCAACTTGCTTCAAGGACTTCATGTCTGGGACAGACTGGCCCAGTCAAGGACCCATTTAACTCTACTAGCTTTGCTCACAAACCCCTCTTCTCCTTCACAGAATATTCCTGTCTAATGATAAACAATTCCTTCTAAGTAAATCTGCCTGACAACATATGACTTAATTCATGTAATCTATTTATCCAGTCTTGTAGTAACTTCCTATCAGCTTTGTACTTCCCACTTGCAAACCCTATTTAAACTGAACTCAAACCAGCCTCTGGGCTGGTGATTTGAACTTCTGGGTTCCCCAGCTTGCTAGCACAATAAAAGTTGCCTCCTACCTCCTCAGTGCAAAGACTTGCATTTGGTTTGATATTGATTTTCTGCAACACTGCTATGTTGCCAGAGGTCTCTGCCTTTGAGAAGATTATAGCCCAAATGTGAAGGCAAGGGTGCCTAATAATTTAACAGAGGGAAAAGTAATTGAAACATGTCATCAATAGACTGGCTTAGTAACTAGGTGAACTACTTACTGAGCAGATGCTAATTGTGTAGCATCACAAATACTAGACATTTGAAGGATAAAAAAGAACTTTTAAGAAATTGTCCTAGGTTAGAAGAACTCATAAACTAATTGAAGAACTGAGACATATACACAGCACTGTTAAATGATAAAATTAGGAAGGGCTAATACTCCAACTATTTGACTGCGATTATAGTAGAAAACTGTTTAACAATGATTGCAGTTATTGGGTGCTTGCCAATCAGAAACAGCATCTCTAGATAAACAGTTATCTCTAGACAGGTAACTAATCTGTCTGTCTCAGTGGGACCTTTACACAGCGGCTCTGTTCGAATGTGTATGATGACTGTATATCCTAAAGGTCTCTGGGCCCTTGGAGTCTTTGGATCTAAACAAGCTTGAATAACCATGGACAGCACTTACTTCTGGTTCCGGCCTGACCAGTACTTTCAGGACCTCCAGGCTTGCCTCTTCAAAAAGTCTTTCCAAGGTTTTCCAGGCATCTCAAGGGATGACTCACATGTGCAAATTTTTGTGGAGATAAGTTTATTCTTTTGAGTGCTTGTTCTTTTAACAGTAGGAATCACTCTGCAGAGCCAGACGATCAAGGGAAGCAGGAAACTAAAGAAAGAGTACTCTCTACTCTACAGCCAAGACCGTTCTGGCTGTATTTGTAGCCACAGGAGCAGCAGAGGACAGCATCCTCCTTGTTACCAGTGTTCTCAGGGTGGGTGCATCAGATGAGACAGACAGTCCTTCATGAGGAGCATGGACAGAAATCGTCCATGAGGAAAGCTAATGTAGGTAGAGAAGACAATACAGTAAACAGCAGTGACTTTAATATGGCACATGCAAGCAGCATCCAGGAAATGAACTGAGATTTGGTCCTGCCCGCTCTAACTGCTCAACTGCAGCATAGAGCAGTCATTTTCCATATGGGACTGTGAGGTGTGGACAGGGGTTCCTATTCTGAGCAATTTACAGTATTTACTTTTTCTTTGCTCTATCTTCTTCTTTCTCTTCTTCCCACTAATTGCCTTCAGCTTTCCCATGGTTTTTATTTTTTTCCTCCTTTTTCTATTTCTTCCTTCTCTGCTTTCTACTTTTCCATTTCTCCTAGGAAATGACATACTGATTATAGTTAAGGACATGTTTTTGCAACATATTAATTGGATTATATCATCACTATAACTTAGGGGACCTGCTGAACTGCCTCTCTTTCTTTGAATAACTGTAGGAATTAACAGCTGATGATACACAGTTTGATATCTTCTGTAACTACTTTATACTAATACTTGTTTGGTGTTACTATGTTGGAGACCCTATGGTTTTGTTCTATGCTTATACTTCTGGAATGTTTCAAATGTGGGATAAATCCAAAATAAAAAACAAACAAACTCTACGCCTCTGGTATACCTTTGAATGAAAGTATACTAAAAATTCATCAATGTAAATTAAGGGATAGACCATGTTTGTATATTTTTAAAGAATAATCCCTATTTAAAACTGGAAATGAATATTATCACAGCCCTAGAAAAAGATAAAGTGAAACTTATGGTTGTATGTAGGAATATATAACAATAGTCTTCTCATTAGTAAGATTTTTCTCTCCTCAGATACTAAACTAACCATGAAGACAAGTATTATCAATACACGACACTCCTTTATAAATATCCCCAATGCGGTTGCACCAGATATTGAAAAGGAAATAAGAAGGATGGAAAATGGAGCGTGCAGGTAAATCCATGCATTTTCTCATGCATTTTAAATACTAGCCACAATTCTTTCATTTAGTTAGGTTTAATTGCAATTTGACTATAATTTGTAACCTTGAACTTTATAAAGTATTTAGTGAATTTACTTATACTTTGAAGCAGGGTAATTTGTCTAACCAAAAAAAAAAAAATTATTATTGTGGCCATGCTTTTTGAAAGCACCTATGCCAAATACTTCTTTAGTTATGGGTAGAGCCTTTCCTCATAGGACATTTCATATATATATATATATATATATATATATATATATATATATATATAAAGTGCTTATCCTATAAAATTAATACAGAAGGTATGGACATGTGGTTGGAATTTCTTTTAGTGGAAGGAGACATTTGGAAATGAGAGTTCATGCAGCTGTGTAATATAACCTGAAACCCAAATGTTGCAATTTCTATTTGATAATTATTAACATCAACCAATGTATCAAACAATAGGAATGTAGAATATATAGAAAAATAATTTTACTGCATTGTGCATATGGTCTATAGACTATTGCTATCCTGTATGGTTCTTAACTCTTTCTAATTGAAAAATTCATGTGGATCTGGACATATAACTCCATGATAGAGCAATTGCCTAGTATGTCTGAGGTCTTTGATTTAATCTCTACCATGGCAAATGAAAAAAGAGTTGTGCATTAGTCTGAGAGGAAAGGAAAGACATGAGGCAAGCATTCCCCCTTAATGAGAAATGCTGCACCTCCACTATGGTTGAAAACATTAATCAAATTCATCTCTGCTTCCTATTGGATATAGCTCCTTTTCTGACAATGACAGCAGTGCCTCTATATCCGAAGACTCGGAGAATGAGAATTCTCATGTAAGGGCTTCCTTTAGAAACAAGTCACACAGAAGGGGAGGACCATCACAGAGGTGAGCAGTGCGATCTAGCCCTTGGGATGTGTTTTGAAACTATTATTTGGATGAAAGGTCTTGTATTCCTTTCCTAGAGTGGGCTTGGTGAATGTTCCTGTAATCCAGACACTACAGAAGACCTCAGAAGTATCTTGCTGCATCCCTTCCTAGCTTGGAAAACTATCACTGCCTAGCCATATTTGATGGCCATGGGGCTAGTCACAAACATGCTTGATTACTTGCCTGAGGTTCATGTCTATATATTAAAAGGTTTCATGGCCCTGTTTTTTCTGATTTCCTGCTTTTTTTTTTAAATCCCTCTTTCAGGGTCTTGAAACAACTGTGTGTGAAGGTTGGCTGTCATTTTCTAAATTGCTCTATCACATTTGACCCTACTTCCAGAAAATAGAGCAGTGGAATGGAGTAGCTAGAAAAGAAAAGCTAAATATCCTTAGTGGGCAATAGAGCAGTCACGCTCCAGTATGGGACTGTGAGGGTGTGGGCCAGGGGTTCCTATTCTGAGCAATTTACAGTATTTACTTTTTCTTTGCTCTATCTTCCTCTTTCTCTTCTTCCCACTAATTGCCTTCAGCTTTCCCATGGTTTTATTTTTTTCCTCCTTTTTCTATTCCTTCCTTCTCTGCTTTTTATTTTTCCTGACAATGTTGGGTCTTATTGGGAGTTAGTGGCATCCTTGATTCACTCAAGGCCAAGCAAGATGCTTATTCTTGGTGTGAACATTCACCAACAGGCATTTATTAACCACTTTTGTTCAAAGCACTGGTATTTGGCAAGTCATACTTCATAGAGGCTCTATGGTTTCATAATCATCTAGGAAACCTTTTGTAGTGAGTAGAAAATTAAAAGAATTTTGTTCTTTAAGACCATTTGTTTACTATGGACATTATACAGATGGTGAGCATTATAATTTCATTGTATGTTTTTTATTTCCAGAGAGCAGTACCTGCCTGGTGCCCTGGCACTTTTCAACATTAATAATAGCAGTAATAAAGACCAGTAAGTACATTTACAGTAGAAAACTAAAGCTTTGTTTTGAAGAAACTAGTAAAACAGAAGGAAAATATCTCCATCTGACATACAGTAAATATTAACTAGACAAACTAATATAGTGACAATGAATGATATTCTATTAGTTTGTTGTCTGACTATCTAGATCATATTAAAAGTAGTATTTTTATGTATTCATCTATTTGAATATACATATAAAAACCGTATCTGTAGTGTATATGCAATTCTCCTTCTTTGTGGATAGAGTGGCTAACAAAGGTACAGGAAACATTATTAGTTCTTCCCAGTCTGAACCAATCTATCTAGGTCAAGTACCCCAAGGAAAAAACTCTGATATGGAGGTCTGAGAGCAGGAGTTTATTGGGAGTACTCTTGGGAATGGTATTAGGAAGACAGTTGGTGTAGAGGGTAGTGGGTAGAATTGGTAGAGGGAGAAGTTGAATTTCAGATAATAGAATTGCTATACAATGTGATCCTTCGGGGAACTTTAGAGGATGGCTGGCTCTCCAGCACTGTTCCATACTTAGGTCATAAGAGCAGGCCTTTGTAGCCACACAAAGTCATTAGATAAGGGCTAGCCCGAGGAAGTACGGCTGTAACCTTGGCCATGGTGGTTTCCTTCAGTGACAGCCAACCAAGGTAGAGGAAAAACTATGAGCTGCCAGCAACCAACACTCTTGCCAGATGGGAAATGAGACCTTGAAATTTCTATACTATTGTAGCCATCCAACCCCTGTATACAGCTCAGCTCCACTTTATTGTATAGAAAATTTATCACACTTGGGAAGGGAATATCTCTTCCAGGTTTCTGGTTGTTCTTTTCTCCCCGCTGGGGAAGCTTTCAGGAGAAAGCTTAATGGTGTAAATTGAGGTCCTTGATAGCTGCAGCTGGTTTTGAAGATTCAACTGAAATTCCTCATCCCCTCCCAGCCCTTGCTCAAGTCTTCTCATCCTTGACCAGAACTTCTGGTCTGCATGCCTTACATGGTTTTCTATTCTTCCATTGTGTAACAGCAAACCTACTTATTTCTGCCAATCAAGGTCAATGACTCATCAGTATAGTGATGCTTCATGACCTACCCATGGGCCATACTTAATCAGTTTCTCCTAAAGAACTCTACATATGGCCATAAGTGGACAATGAGGAATAGATGCTGAAGCAGAAGTGTTAATGACATGGGTATGTGGGGGGTTGTGCTTAGCCACTGGCTTGGGCAGCTTACTTGTTTGTTTATGCTCAATCCCAGATATATAATCCATTATATCATAGGTTATTGCCCAACCTTCGGCGGAACATTTTGACACTTCATGAAAAACTACTTTAGTCAGAATTATTTCCTTTAAGGAAAATAGACAGCATTTTCTTGAAATTCTCAATGCTTTTATTTAAAAATATATGAAAGTAATACCAAGAAGCCTAGATTTTGAATAAGCTTTTTTTTCAAATCAACATTGTGGAAGTACACTCAAACTTCTTAGGTTTGTGCCTTCACTTACTGCCATTTTCTTCAGTTTTCCATACTGATTAACCTGTGGATTTTTGCTTTTTTAATTATCTGAATAAGTGTCTATTTTTTATAGGATGCTCCATTAGGAAGTTAGATTTCTGGTTTCTGACCAATAGGGCAGGTCTTTGAATATACAGCTGAGAATTCTTGGCCCATGGAGAAGAAAGTTAAAAAAAAAATGAAAATCAGATTGTAATGTGATTACATGACAGAAATATTGTTTCTATTTTAGAGAACCAAAAGAAAAAAAGAAAAAGAAAAAGGCAAAGGAAAAGAAGAGGTGAGACTGGCATGAATCATCCCACATTTTTTGCCCTTAACATTTTCTTATTTTAACACTGTATACACAACTTTTTCAGCAAGCCAGATGACAAAGGTGAAAATAAAAAGGACCCAGAGAAGAAAAAGAAGAAAGAAAAAGAGAAGAAAAAGATAGAGGACAAAAGTAAAGATAAGAAAGAAGAGTAAGTATTTCTACTGCAATTAAAATCAGAAATAAATTTAGAAAGAACATTTATGGTAAAAAGGACTTGTTTAAATATTAAGTGTCTTTAAATATTTAAAAGTAAATTTTTAAAGTAAATTGTTATCAATTTTGAATTAAAGTCTTTTTCTAAATATGTGTAAACATCGTATTGTCTCACTAATGTGAGAAAATGAACAAATAAAGAAGATCCAAAATGTACAATAGATATTGTGAATTGAGAAGAAACTGTCCAAAAGAAAGGACAAACTATGATGAGGGAAAGGGGAAAGGAAGAAAGGGAAAAAGGGGAAAATATATGTATACACATGATAGTTAAGATTGTTACACAGCTATTTTCTCTTAGTTCATTAAAAAGAAAGTTTTGTGCTAATATTGTGTAGACAAGATATCATGCCTATGTCTTCTACTCTAAATAACTACTAGGAAGACAACAATATGCAACATATCAACTACTGTAACTGTCCCACTGACCTGTTTTAAAACTCAGGTTCATTGTTGTGTTTATCTTTTTTATCTTTTTTTTTTTTTTTGGTACTGGGAATCGAACTCAGGACATTGTACCTTTTTTATCTTTAAAATAAAAATTTTAAAAATCTTTTTCTAAGTTTCCTAAAATTAAGAATTACTGATTTTTCTCACCAAGAATTTTGATTGTTGGTTCATTCTCTTCCCCAAGCATTTGTGAGTACAAAATTACCACTAGTGATTATTCAGGTTCAAGAATAATTGAGTGCCTACTGTCTGGGCATGGTGGTGCATGCCTATAATCCTAGCACTCTGGAAGTTGAGGCAGGAGGATCCCCATAAGTTCAAGGCCAGCTGGGACTACATAGCAAGACCCTGTCTCAAAACAAAACAAACCAAATCAAATCAAAACAAAACAAAACAATTGGGTGCCTAGTATCTTAGTATCAATTTTAAAAATCTGAAATAAAAATTTAATAATTTCACTAACTTTTTGAGCACAAAGTATTGGAAAATGGCAAATACTCTAAAGTAAAGAAGTCTGATTGCAAAAGCCGAGCTAATTTTTTTGGTGGGGGCAAGGGTTTGAGACATGGTCTCACTACATAGTTCCGACTGGCCTTGAACTCACTTGTAGTCCAGGCTGGCCTTGAATTCCTGGCTATGCTTCTGCCTCAGCCTCCCGAGTTCTAGGGTTACAGTCATGTCAACGACACCTGGCAGGTCCACTTTTGAGAGCAACACAAATGCTACCAAAACAAAAGTCTTTTGGAGAATTTAAAACAAACATTTGAGAGTTAGAATTCCCCAAGACTAACCCAAAGGACACTTGTAAAGCTCTTTTCACTTTTTATTAAAGGCTGATTCCTTTCTGAATATACTTAAGCAAAACTCTACATGTGACAATGGTCCTGCTATACGTTCCTGTTTAGAACGTTGTTGAAATTTGTATTAGGAGAAAAGTCCTTAAAAATATAGGATTAGACCAGAAGATTGTACAAAAATGTCCATTTGATCATGCATTTTCTTCCTCCATTCTTCTTGCCCTCTTCTGTCTTTCTTAAAGAATCCTTTCTACGTGCTCCCCAATCAGTGCTTTCATTAGATTAACCTTTCTTTTTCCTCTACAGCTGAGAAAGAAGCTATGAGTCCTCTCTCGTCTCACAGAGTAGTTTCTGGTCACTTGGTTACCTGACTGGGCTGTGGTGGCCCAGTTACTATTCCCCTGCTGCCCACAAGCATCCAGAGGAGTCTGGAATAGCCGTCGTTCTTCTCCTGCATGCCCCTTATCTCTTAGTGACTTGAGAATAGAACTAACCAAGGCACTGCAGTAAAACAAGGACCTTAATAAAAGGTTAATGTATATTTTAACATTAGCAGTGGTAATTTAACTATCTATCCACCCTACACTAACTAATTCCTTCTTACCCAAACGCATATCAAGCTAATTTTTTTCACTGAAGGGTGAGCTTCTCTAGCTTACTCCTCTTTCATTCATTGTGGGTTTTGGTATAACTATACTTGAAATGGTAACTAAAAATGTTCTTATGTCTCGGTAACTTTCGCCTGTATTTTTCACTGTTGCTAGGGAGAAGAAAGAAGTTGTGATTATCGATCCTTCGGGAAACATGTATTACAACTGGCTGTTTTGCATCACCTTACCTGTGATGTACAACTGGACAATGATTATTGCAAGGTGTTTATTTTTTGCAGATCTCAGCCTATTTGTAGTTTCCAAGTCAACTGACTGAACTAGCACTCCTCAGAACACATTTCCTTTTCCTGCCACAGCTTGGAAAGAGAAACTGAGTTACTCTCATGTGTTTTTCTGAGATCAGGCAGGGGTGCTTTTGTTGTTACTATACTTGGTCTTCTGGTAGTGGGGTGGGGTGGGTACTTTTAAACTTTTGATTACTCAATCGTGTAATTAGAACATTTGGAGAAATTATATGGGTTTTCTTTCCGGCCTACTAGAAAAAGTGTTGTCAATACTGAAAAAATATCAAGGATCTAGTGTCTTTTAGATGGTGAACATCTCATCTATTCAAGACCAAGCATATTTTCCTGATGCATATTTCTTGAAGTGTGTTTTCCTGAAGCATATTGGGAACAGGTGTGTTTCAATTAGTGTATTTGACTTCAGCCTGAGGTCATTTATTCTTATCTGATATCTTTACCAGCTACTACTGATGGATAAAATGTTAGAGAGAACAAAACTGAACAACTCAGGAAAACATTTGAGAAAGCTATGACTGAATAAACATGTTTTAAGGGCTCCTTCCTAAGCCTTAGTATGTTGTACAGAAGTCACAAAAATGATAAAGGTCACACAAAGAGAATTTTTACTTCAGTTAATCTCCATTTTACTCATACAAATTTTTCCCCCAGAGCCTGCTTTGATGAACTTCAGTCTGATTACCTAGGATACTGGCTCATTTGTGATTACGCTTCAGATATAGTCTATCTTCTCGATATGTTTGTACGAACGAGGACAGGTAAATATATTCAGTTTTAGATAGTCTAAATGTGTTTTATCTCTGATATATAATTTAAAATTTCCAAGCTCAAGTATTCTTTAAAATAAACTCAGAAATCTGTCTTACAGCAAAAGGCACAGTTAAAAACAAAAGTCATGATTTTACCTGCCCATAAGCTTAGGCCACTCCAGCCGATTCAGAAAGATGGTACCAGGGAAACTTTTGAACATAGTTTGGGAGATTTCCTCCATTTTTATGTTCATTGGGTTTACGCCAGGTGAGAAGACTAGAGAGAAAAGAAATATTCTACCAGCTCTGTAGGAAAAAGTAACTGCTCCTGCTAGGAAGGCCCCTCAAAAAGGAAGAGAGCCGCAGAGCTATAGTGGACATTTCATAGGAAGTGTGAACTTTGTGCTTCATGGAGGGACTGTATCAAGCAGAGAACAGCAAAGCTTCCTACTTAAAGTGTTCTTGGTAAGAAGTAATGAGTTCATTGTTTCTGCACTATTCTCCACATGCAAACATAACTAGTGTACACAAAGTAGAAGCTTTTAAGAATTATTATGGAAAACAGAGACATTTTCAAACATCATTGCCCTCGAACAATGCTCCAGTGTTCTGCCCTGTTTGCTGCTCTGGCAGCCATTCTAGGAGGAGGAAGAAACTCCCTATGGCGATGTATCACAGTGCTGAAATTTTGTGTTTAACACACAGAGCCTGTGGTAATAGCACAGAAAGGAAGATCCCAGGTGACTAAAGACTGGGGGACAAGAAGGAGAGAGGAAAATGTAGCCTCACAGGGCACTTATGCCTCACATTGAAGGGGCAAGACATAAACATATAAAATGGTCAGATAGCAAGGCAGGTACCCAAGCTTCAAGGGTAGGGCTGGAATTCATTCAGAAGAGCAGCATGAGTTGTTGGGCATAGTGCCAGATGTTCAAAAAACTTTCCAACAATTAGGTGTGGTAGTATGGTAGGAAAAACAAACCATCTTTTTTCTTAGTATAGTCTCAACACAATATACTTGTGGTCAACAAAATATGTATGGGAGAAACATCACATGCTAAGCAATGCTGTAACACCAGCTGGGTGTCTTATAATTTAACTCAATTCTGGAGGATGTTAACTGGAGTTAGCTGTTATTCCACACTCCCATGTTAAATGTCAGTTACAAACTCTAGGTTGTGGCATGTACTTCTGACCTGCTTGTTATAAAGCAGGGTTGTAATAACCCCTCCTCAGGTCTAATAACTTGTTTTTATGGTTTACAGAACTGAGGAAGTACATTTATTAGTTTATTGTATTAATGAAGGGTATGCTAAATGATATAGATGAACAGGGGGTAAAGAGATACACAGGGCAAAATCCAGAAGGGTCCTGGGAGCAAGAACTTCTATCTCCATGGAATGCACTTTCCAGCACTGGGTGTTCATCATCCTAGAAGCTCTCTGGACTCCATAGTTAGAGATTTTAAGGACAGTTTAAGGTGATGGTAGATTAACTTAATCTTGAGCCTTCTGTCTTTTCCAGGGAAAGCAGCAATGAGGAGGTAAGGGGAACCTGGTGCTGAAGGCTTAGTCTTTGTAGTGATTAGCCCCATCTAGGAGCCCACCAAGCATTGCCTCTATAGAACAAAAGACCTTCTTGTTATGCAGGAAATTCCAAGGGATTAGGAGCTCTATGTTAGGACTCGGGGCCAAAAACCGAATATCATCACAAAAGATGCAGCTAGCACACCTATTGCTCGGGAAATTATAAGGCTTTTAAGAGCTCTGTGCTAGAATATTAGGGAAGAATACAAATACATCATTAATTTATCATAATATCAGAAGAATGTGAATTCTGTGTAAAATAAATGACTATCTGGGTGGGGATACTAGATCTTAAGAGATGTGTATGCAACCCTCTTATTATCAAACTTACAAGGTTTTACTTTTTATTTCCACAACACGCTACTTTTCACAGCCATATGTTGATTGATATTTATGTCATATTACATTGCTGAAGCCATATTTATTGGAAATAAATTCTTGTTTTGACTCAACAAAGTTAAGTGACTTTAGAAAAATTCTCAATGGCACAAGAAGGGGAAACATTACATTGATTTGTTTTTCTTCTATTTTAGGTTACCTAGAACAAGGATTACTGGTGAAAGACAAACACAAACTCATAGAGAAATATAAATCAAACTTTCAATTTAAACTTGATGTTGTATCAGTGATACCGACTGATGTGCTATATTTTAGATTAGGGTGGAACTATCCAGAAATTAGATTAAATAGGCTATTAAGGATCTCTCGCATGTTTGAGTTCTTTCAGAGAACAGAAACAAGGACAAACTATCCAAACATCTTCAGAATTTCTAATCTTGTTATGTATATTGTCATTATTATCCACTGGAATGCATGTGTGTACTACTCTATTTCGAAAGCTATTGGATTTGGTAATGATACCTGGGTCTACCCTGATGTTAACGATCCTGAATTTGGCCGTTTGGCTAGAAAATATGTATACAGCCTTTACTGGTCTACACTGACTTTGACTACCATTGGTGAAACACCACCTCCTGTGTTGGATTCTGAGTATGTCTTTGTGGTGGTTGATTTCTTGATTGGAGTTTTGATTTTTGCTACCATTGTCGGTAACATAGGTTCTATGATTTCCAACATGAATGCAGCCAGGGCAGAATTTCAATCAAGGGTCGATGCTATCAAGCAGTACATGAATTTTCGAAATGTAAGCAAAGATATGGAAAAGAGGGTTATTAAATGGTTTGACTACCTGTGGACCAACAAAAAAACAGTTGATGAGAGAGAAGTCTTGAGATATTTACCTGATAAACTGAGGGCAGAAATTGCCATCAATGTTCACCTAGATACACTGAAGAAAGTGCGCATTTTTGCTGACTGTGAGGCTGGTCTGTTGGTGGAATTGGTTTTGAAGCTGCAACCCCAAGTCTACAGTCCCGGAGACTACATATGCAAGAAAGGGGATATTGGACGGGAGATGTACATCATAAAGGAAGGCAAGCTTGCTGTGGTGGCAGATGATGGGATCACTCAGTTTGTGGTGTTGAGTGATGGCAGCTACTTTGGTGAGATCAGCATTCTCAACATTAAAGGCAGCAAAGCTGGCAATCGAAGAACAGCCAATATCAAAAGTATTGGCTACTCAGATCTCTTCTGTCTCTCAAAAGATGACCTCATGGAAGCTCTAACTGAGTATCCAGACGCCAAAACTATGCTGGAAGAGAAAGGGAGGCAGATCTTAATGAAAGATGGTCTATTGGATGTAAACATTGCAAATGCTGGTAGTGACCCTAAAGATCTCGAAGAGAAGGTCACTCGAATGGAGGGATCAGTAGACCTCCTGCAAACACGATTTGCCCGTATCCTGGCTGAGTATGAGTCAATGCAGCAGAAACTGAAGCAAAGGTTGACCAAGGTTGAGAATTTTCTGAAACCACTTATTGACACAGAATTTTCAGCTCTTGAGGGACCTGGAGTAGAAAGTGAGCCCACAGAATCGACATAAGACTGAAAAAAACTTCATTAATGAAGACATACATACTTAAGATCATTTTGATCACATGACCAAAGGCAATGAAGGAAAAAAGAAGAGGACTGGACTGAGAAAATTTTCCATGAAGAAAATATGCTTGGGTGGTTGACACAAGGCCTATACATTCTCCATGAGGTACTATGGTTAAAGAATCATCCTATGTGCATCCTTTCCACAAAGCATGGGCAAAGATATAAGCTAATTAACTTGAGAGGTAGATTTTTCACATATGCCACTTTTATGGAATAATCTTCATAAAAGAAGTATTTCTCACTTTCAGGCCATTTGGTTTGTTGAAGAGTGAAACGTCTTCAGAGTAACTTGGAACTACATCATGTTTGGGATACCATTTTAAAAATAATTAGAATGCAATAAAGTTAATTATGAAACTATAGTGAATATGATCTATTTGATAAGAAATTTAGGATCTTACAGAGCTTCAAGGTCATTTTAAGGCCACTAGCTATTGTGGTACTCTAGGGCTTCAGGAAGGCTGGTTTGGAGAAACTTCTTACTGATAGATAAAGGTATGACAGATCACTATATGAATACATGCACACACATAAATATTGAAATATGTAATACAGAAAATTGTAAAATGTAGAAATTCTTAATATTAAATTTAACAAGTTATCTGAGAATTAAGGCCTGACAGCAGTGGTTACTGTCTTACTTTTCTGCCTTGCCAGGAGTAAGAAAAATGGATAAAAGTACTGTCATTGAGTGATTATCAAGGGAAATTATCAAAATGTTAGAAAAGGAGACCTGAAAATTTTGGGGACCAGGCTAGGCATTATTGGGGAATTTCTAAGAAATACATAATCTTATAGCTGGGAGTACAGTGCAGGCCTAGCCCTGGGTTCTATCCCTAGAACCTAGCAAAGAAAGAGAGAAAAAGAGGGTAGGACTACAGAATTCAGGCTCAACTGCTTCAGAGTCTACCTTTTAGCAAGATCTCTAAGTGATTCATATCCACACTGAAGCTTGAGAAGCCTGTATCGAAAGGACCAGGAAGGAGGCAGTGGGAGGATGCTTCTAAGAAGAAAAAGGAATTTTTTCTCACAAGTGTGTAGCTGTGGAAAACACTGCCAATCAATCACATAACTCTACTCTTGAACGCTCATGTAGTTAAAAAATCTTTCTTAATATCAATTACTGGGATTGATAAGAGATTTCTATCTCTGCTTATGATGACATTACTGAACATGGTTTCTAGTTATTTGACATTTCTGATATATATATGGACTTCAGTCAGCAAATGTCAGTAGTATAATTTATCCTGTCCACCACTGAAGTATACATTTGAATCCCAGCAGTCTGGAAGGCTGAGATAGAAGGATGGCAAATTTGCTCCCAGCTTCAGTAACTTAGTGACTTTTCAAGACCTTGTCTCAACATAGAATAAAATAAAAATAAAAATGGCTGGAGATGAAGTTCAGTGTGAAGGGCATAGGTTTGATCCCCAGTCACACACACACATGCACACACACACACTCCATTGAACAATACACTCCATCTTTCCACACCTAGATTGCCCTTCTAAATTTTGCCTATTTCTTTATCTTCAGCCCATAAATATTTCTTAACAATACAAGAGGTTTCTAGTCCACAAGTAGGTCCACCGTACGCAATGCTTAACATGGTTTCTGCCTGAGACAAGTACTCCTTTTCCTCCATTTTCTTTCTTATTCTTACTGTTCCTTCTCTTTCATTGTATGAACCCTCTGAGATGCTGTAAGGAGGCTTGCAACTATGGTAGAAAAGAATGAGTGAGGTTATACACCAGCTCAGATCTGGCTCACCAAGAATTTACCTAAAGCACAGTATCTAGGGTGTGAGTCTGATCTGGACTAGAGACATAGCCAAGAATTCTGATTTGGTGACTCCTGACCCCAAGCTCTGTGAGTCTTGCAGAGGTTTATATGGGATAAGTGGCAGAGTTTCTATTCAAGGGCTAGAAGGATGTTAGCCAATTCCTTTCCAGTGACTCCTCTAAGGAGAGGGCTCTGATTGCCTAAGCTGATGGTGGGGGGTTCCCAGTTAGACATCTGCAAGAAGTGAATTAAAGAGGTTCTCAACTGGGACTCAGCATCATCAGGAAATTCTTTTTTTTTTTTAATTTAGGAAACATGTGGCTTTGGGGAGACTTACGTTGAAAGTGTTGACCTGGGTACTTGTGGGATGCCAGAACTGGAGCTGATCCTTTAGCACATTCCAGACTAACTCCAGACTCCAGCTGGTTGCAAAGAATGAGCAACTATACAAATCAGGATAAGGACAGGTTTGGTATAAGGATGAGAGAGGAGAAGAAAGAATGGGAAATAGGGCTGAAGTTTGAAGATCCTTAGTACCTGCATCTGGGAGGAGTAAGGAATTTCAGAGCTCCAAGATGGCAGAATGAGGAGGGGGTAAAACCCAACCTCTTGGTCTTGGCAGTATGGCTAGTGAGGGTTTACTTTGCACCCCACCAGGTGTATTACAATGTGTTGTTCACGAAGACATTGCTTCATAATTTTGCATATACTTATTTTTTTAAAATACCCTTTTCCAATACTATGTGATTAAGCTTCTTACCATTAGGTGGCAATGTTGGTCTGTAATTGTAACCTTCAAGACCTGAAACCACTTTCCTCCTTGCAAATTGTAGATAGTATACTACAAAAAAAAGAGAGAAAATTGCAATTTTATTCATACACACACACACACAGACACACACACACACACACACACACACACACACACACGTACCCATACCTCTCAGTTTTACTGAGGAGATCTTGACTAGGAAATAAAGCAGTGTTGTAATGTCTAATCACTAAAATCACTAAATAAGTTATTATAAAAATATAACAAATCCCTAAGTTACCCAGATTGCTCAGATTTCCAGATATAAGAATGGAAGATTGATTCAACCATTAAAGAGCATAAGAAAATAATAATTTAAGAAACATTAGAGATGATACAGTTTCACTAGACAAGATGGTAGGAATTCACCAGTGGTTGTTATATTGCATATTGTCTTCAAATCAGTTGCTTATATTATCAGGTATAAGCATGCAAAATTAGTCAAAATATAAAAAATTTAAGCATTAACTGTTCCCTTCAATAAACCACCAGACATCAGCAGTACAGTTATCACAGCCCCCAGCGTTGCTCCCTGGCTCCAGTGCAGATCCCTCAGCCTGCTGGCACAGATCCTTCATCCCATTGGCACAGACTTTCTAGCTTCCTCCACTGACCTTTGAGCCTTCCCAGTGCAGATCCTTGATACAGACTCGTATGAGACATTGTCGTGTGCTCTAGGCCTCCAGCTGGAATCGTGCAGGACATTGCTGTGGGAGCGAGGCCCTCAGCTGGATTCTTTGGGTCTCTAGTGTGTGGATAGATTTGCTGCACACTTTTGCAGTTGACATTTTGGGTGAATATTATAAAATAATCTTATAAATTATATGTCCTGTATTAAATCCATTCCCTTGTAAACCCTGCCTACAATAGCTAATAGATGTTGGCGGCAAAAATAGTTGGTGCCAGGATTTGCTAACTCAAAAAATGAGTTAGTTGCTTTATTGAAGAATGATGATCCCATTTATGGATGGTCCAGGCCTCTGGCTTTCCTTACCTTGGGAAGGGGAAGTGAGAACGGAGGAATATAAACTTTTCAGTCCATGTTGTGAACACCAGTCTCTTGTATCAGTCTGGGTAATTACAGTTGATCAGCTTTATGAATTTAAGCTTCCAGAAACCTCTTCTCTCAGAGTGTTGTAAATGTCTAATCCCGGGGCTGGAGATTTCAAACGTTTTTACTCATATCTTATTTCTAGTAACTGAAAATGGAAATCTGCATTAGTGATAAAAAACAAGAAATCAGAGAGTAAAATCTGTACTCAGTGGCCACAAAGAGTAATTTTGTCTGAGTATTCCCAGGGAGTTTTAGTACTGTGTCTTCTAAAACAAAACAGTAATTGAATAAACTTTAAAATGTAAATTTAACAGATAAAGTAAAAAATAAGTTGACACATTTAAATATTTCTTAATTTCAGGAAGTTCACCAGAGGAATAATAATAATTACAAGACTTCTTACTGATATGTAAGATGTATATTAGTGATAAAGGAAAGGGACTATTTAAATGAAAATTTAGTTTGCCTTTTTATTTTTACATATGCTTTGCTTTAACAAGTCTAAAATTATAAATTTGTTTTAACAGTGTTAATAGTAAGCCTGATTAGGACATAGTCAATTTAGGCAATATTTTTCCTTAAACTTCTGAAATTGTATTACTAAACGTCTAGGTTTATAGACTGCTCAAAATATAAAATACTAAACACCAGGCTTATAGACTCAGAAGAGATAGCTCAATATTCCCTGCACTAGTTTATTTCTAGAATGAGAAAAAATGAGGCAAATTCAAAGGAAAGAAACAGAGGATCCTGAAAATGCAAAATGACCTAGGAGGTCATCTACTTCATCCCTCTGCATTTCATAAATATAGAAATGATGGCCCGGCAGCACTAAACTTGGCGAGCCTGGAGCATAGAGGAACTGTGAGTGACTGTGGGAATTCTTACCATGCTTTGGAGAACAATACGTTAATGTCCAGTAGAACTAAGGTTGTCTGACTAGAAGCCCAGCAATTTCCTTGTTAGGCAGAGTCACTGATAAAAGTCTGCCACATATGGACAAGGAGACTTGATCAAGAGAAGTACACAAAATAATAAAAAAAAAGGAAAGAAAACTTAAATACCCACCCAAAGGAGACCAAGCAGATAAATTAGAATACAGCTTTACAGTGAAATACTATAATATTTGGATAGTAAGAGATAATATTATGTGGTGCTTATTTAGTTTGTACCAGACACTAAGTTCTTACATGATTACAATGCATTTAATCCCCATAACAACTTCTGAGGTAGGTTCCATTATAGTACCTGTTTAACAGGTGATGAAATGAAGCACAGAGAGGTTAAATAATTTTTCCAAGGCACACAGGAAGAAAGTGGCAATAACTCCTATTTAAACCCAGACAGTGTGTCTCCATTGTCTTTGGTCTTAGCCTCATCTTGGGCT